CAGAACAGGCACTTAAGGAGTGAGAGGAGGGCAGCCACTGCTGCTGGTGACACGAGAATGATGGATAGCTTCAGACACACAAGCTTTTGTTGACTGCCCGTGTGTGCCAGGTTTCTACTGAGTATGTAACATCAGATCTGGACTGCTCTGCCCTCAACGATCTCATCTGCTGAGGGAGACAACTCACTGGTGGGATCCTTGACCCTGGCTGGGAGATCAGTGGAGGTGGGGGCTCCGGTTAGTCTTCACAGAGGAAGGTTGAATCTTTTTTTTTTTTTGAGACGGAGTTTCACTCATGTTACCCAGGCTGGAGTGCAATGGCGCGATCTCGGCTCACTGCAACCTCCGCCTCCTGGGTTCAGGCAATTCTCCTGCCTCAGCCTCCCGAGTAGCTGGGATTACAGGCACGCGCCACCATGCCCAGCTAATTTTTTGTATTTTTAGTAGAGACGGGGTTTCACCATGTTGACCAGGATGGTCTCGATTTCTTGACCTCGTGATCCACCCGCCTCGGCCTCCCAAAGTGCTGGGATTACAGGCTTGAGCCACCGCGCCCGGCCTTGGAAGGTTGAATCTTTAGGGAAGGGAGGGGCAGGGCAAACAAGCATCTGAGGATTTGTAAAATCACAAGGAGTTTGGAGTGATTGTAGATGTTGGCTGGCAAGAGCTGAGTCTTATTCCACAAATACTTATTGCCAGTCTGTGCCAGGCATTGTTTTCAGTGTATGGGGATACATAGGTGAGCCCAGCAGGCCAAGATCCCTGTCCTTGTGATGCTCACGTGTTTGCAGATTGACACAAAATAAACAATAAACATAATGAATAAATTAGTTGGGAAGAGCTATGGATGGAAAGTATAGAGCCAGGATAAAGGGGCTGAGCAGGGATGTGAGTTCACAGTATTAAATAGCACAGTCGGTAGGCCTCAGAGCAGGTGAGATTTGAGCCTTGCAGAAGGTGAGAGTTAGCTGCACGCACAAGCAGGGGAGGGCAGCAGGCCCACACACCTGGTACAACTCAGGCACAGCCTAGAGGGAGGCCAGTGTGCCCGAACAGAATGTAGTAGTAGTAGATGAAGTCAGAGAGGTGGTGAGTCCAATTGGGTAGGGGCTTGTGGTCTGTGGCCAGGACTTTGGCTTTTATTCTGAGGCAGAAGCCATGGGAGGGTTGTGAGCAGAGGAATGACAGGATGTGGTTGGGGATTTAACAAGATCGCCTTGCCTGCTAGTCATCCAGTGGAGCCTGGCAGGTGAGGGCAGAAGCAGGGGCCAGTGAGGAGGAGGCTGCTGCAGTAGGCCAGGTGACCAGTGCCAGTGCTGGCAGTGGAGATGATGAGAAGGGGTTGGATTTGGATCTATTTTGAGGATAGAGGTAACAGGGTTTCCTTTCAGATTGGCTGTAGGGATGTGAGAGAGAAGGTAAGGAGCTTCACCCCTGTCCTGTGAGGAGCCTTGTGGTCCACCGTGTGAGTGGGGATGATGATGACCTATGTAGAAGCTATATCATAGCCAAGGTCCTGGGAAGGGAGCCAGCATTCAGGGATGGGTCACAGGAGGGTCATGGCTGTTGGTCATCCTTACTGCATTTTCCTTACCCACTGCAGCCCCGGAAAGCCAGCGCCACATGCAGTTCGGCCACAGCAGCAGCCTCCAGTGGCCTGGAGGAGTGGACTAGCCGGTCCCCACGGCAGCGGAGTTCAGCCTCATCACCTGAGCATCCTGAGCTGCATGCTGAGCTGGGCATCAAGCCCCCTTCCCCAGGCACTGTCTTAGCTCTTGCCAAACCTCCTTCACCCTGTGCGCCAGGTCAGTAACATGCTCGCAGGGAATGTGCTGGGGGTTAGGAGGCACTGTCTGGGTCCTGGGTCCTGGATCCTGGATCCTGGGTCCCTACCTTTGACTGTCCGTCTGCTTCAGGTACAAGCAGTCAGTTCTCGGCAGGGGCCGACCGGGCAACTTCCCCCCTTGTGTCCCTCTACCCTGCTTTGGAGTGCCGGGCCCTCATTCAGCAGATGTCCCCCTCTGCCTTCGGTAAGCCTCCTTTGTGTCGGGGATGGAGGCTACTAGGAGCTGGGAGAGACTAGAAGAAGCGGCAAGTCCTGAGAGGGGGTTTCTGGAGCCTCCGGCTATCTCCCTGAGAAAAGAAGAGAGAGGTGCTGGAGGGGATTTTTCAGGCCCAAGGGGATTTTTCATCCCCAGAAGGGGCCTAGGATCTAAGTGGGGTTTCACAGGCCTAGCAGATCCTTCTGTTTTAAGAAAGGAGAAGGGCCCTATGGGATTTCTCCAGAGCCCCAGATACCGGCACAGGGTGAGGAGAAGGCAGGCTGAGAGCACTCCATCATCCTTTTTCTCTTCCTCTGGCCCAGCAGGTCTGAATGACTGGGATGATGATGACATCCTAGCATCGGTGCTGGCAGTGTCCCAACAGGAATACCTAGACAGTATGAAGAAAAACAAAGTGCACAGAGACCCGCCCCCAGACAAGAGTTGATGGAGACCCAGGGATTGGACACCATCTCTCAACCCCAGCACTCCTGCCCTCTGGTGCCGCCTCAACCTTCTTTGGCTTCTTCCCTCTTGCCTCCTTCTGTTCTTCCTGCTCTCCCCTCTTTTCCCTCCTCCTCACTTCCCTCTGGCTAGCCCACCCCTGTGCTCCCTCTCATTGCTGCTGCCACTATCACCTGTCTCTCTGCCAGCTGACGTGCCCTGTTGCCCCCCACCCTGCATAGCACCATCCCTGCATTCCACAGGGGACTCGGGCAAGGGTGCCGAAGATAGACGAGAGGTACACAGAGACAGACCAACTGGCAGCCAGGCAGCCCCAGAGGAGAGAGACATTCAGACAGAGGAAAGTCTCCCTGCCCCTCATTCCTTCCAAGATGAGAAAAAGTTGCTGTCCCCCCTCCACACTGATGCCAGGGAGGTGGGAGGAAGAAGTGGGAAATTTCCCTTTCCAGTACCCCATGAATGTCTGAGCCTTCAATCTTGAATTTTTTTCTTTATGAAAATGTACTTTTATCTTATGAAATCAACTAATCAAAAATGATATAGATGACAGCACTGGGTCTGTGAAGGTGGCATCTTTCTGGCCAGGCAGGTCATGGGGCATGGAGGGGGGCGAAAAGATGTGGGTTGCTGTCTTCTAGCCTCCAGCTGCATGGAGGCGGGCCCAGGGCCAAGGGTGTGCACTGGGCAGGGCAGCAGGTGTCAGGCCAGCTTGGACAATGAAACCCTGACCTTGCTGCATTCCTTTTGCTTCCACCACCACTAGCCTCTTTGGAATCTTGGGGTGGGGGGCATCTTTGGGGATCATGGCTGCCACCCGGGATTTGAGTGTAGCGAGTGTGGGAGCAGCCTTGGCAGATGGGGCACCCGTGCCCTGCAGGTGTTGACAAGATCCGCCATCTGTAATGTCCTTGGCACAATAAAACCAAATGTCAGTTTCCCTGAGCGGCTCTGTTCTGTGTGGGGCAGGGGTTGGGCGGGCTTCTGGGCAGAGGAGGGAATGGCACGGACCTTGGCTTGACCTCAGAGGTGTGAATCCTCTCCAGCAGGGTCTATCTGGGGGCCTGGAGTTTGTATTTGATTTGCTGCTTATTAAACATCCTCCTATTACCACTGGAAAAGCTGCATCTTTGCCTGCTGACCCCACCCCTGTCTATCCTATTTCCTGGGATGTGATGGTAGTAGAGGACTGTGAGCTTGAACTTCCTGCCTGAATTCCAGCTTCTCAGCCTGCCTCTCGCCATGAATGTTGCTCTTTCCTTTCCATGATCTGATGAAGAAAAGCCCTGGAAAAGCATAACTGATCATTTGTGGTAACATGAGTTTAGTGGAAGTAACCAGAGGGGCCTCCCCCAGTGGGTTCTAGAAGGTGAAGGATGGCTAAATCCTTCTTTGTTCCTGTCCCCTAGTCCTCTGACACCTCTTTCCCTGCCCTCCCTAGGGGTAGATCCAAGGTAGAGAAGGCTGGCTGGCCTCTAGGTTTTCTATCTTTTATGTAGACCCTCTGGCAGGGTGTATTCTGGTTCTGCAGTTGAGGGCATGGCTAGCTGAGTGGCTGGCTGCAGAGTATCTCTGGAACCCAATGGCCAAGCATCTATTTGTTGTAGAGTTGCTTTGAAACCTTCCCTGGCATTTTCTAGCTGTGTGGCCTTGGTCAGTTCTTAGTTTCTCTGAATTTCAAGTGTCTCATCTGTACAAGAGAGGTGATTACGCTGGGCACAATGACTCACGCCTATAATCCCAGCACTTTGGGAGGCTGAGGTGGGTGAATCACCTGAGATCAAGAGTTTGAGACTAGCCTGGCCAACATGGAGAAACCCATCTCTACTAAAAATACAAAAATTAGCAAGGCGTGGTTGTGCCCACATGTAATTCCAGCCACATGGGAGGCTGAGGCATGAGAATCACTTGAACTTGTGGGGTGGAGGTTGCAGTGAGCCGAGATTGCACCATTGCACTCCAGCCTGGGTGACAGAGACTCTGTCTCAAAGAAAAAAAAAAAAAGTGATAACTACTCCCTCATGCTGTCTGCTTGTGATCATCAAGAGGGAATAGGCATGGTCAAAGAAAGTAATGTGCTATTGGGCACAGTGCCTGGCACATTCGGAGGGTGCAAATGTGTCATTTCTGTAGAAGTTTCTGTACCATTTGGCCCCTGCCAATCTCTTGCCGCTTTGTCCAGTTTTGTTGGCCTTTGCCTGCAATTTGCCCTCCTCTGTCCTGAGCCACCAACCTTTGTCTTTCAAGACAGGTAGTGGGTCAC